CTTTTGATTTTAACTTTCTCCCACCTCCAAGACAGTAGCATTTATACCTGTTGAGATTTCATCCTGACTTCCTCAGTCATTTTTGACCCAGACTAGAGTCTAGCGAATTCTGTTACTACATCATATCTCCATCAAGACTCGATTGGTGTTAGTATCACAACACCAGAGAATCAAATCAGATTACACCGCAGAATCCTTGTAACAATGACAACAGGACTAGCAAAAAAAAAAAAAAAAAAAAAAAAAAAAAAAAAAAAAGTGATACGTCAACCCAGACAAGAATAAAGGATGCAGGAATAAACGCACCCAGCTCTGTCGCCTACTTTTCAAGAACACTGTCAAAACATACACTGGGGAAAATCCTGCTTCTTCAAGACATGCCAGAGAAGCTGGGTATCCACATGGAAGAGAAACGAAACTGGGACCCTCCTTCTCGCTCTATACAAAAACCAGTTCAAAATCAAAGCTCTTCAAATAAGACTGGTGGCAGCTCTGAAACTATCCAGGAAAACACTTCAAGATATAAGGCCAGGTGAGGACTCTCTGAAAAGAACTGATACCTGGGGAAACAATTACAACTGAATTATGGGAGGACATGAAATGAAAAGGCTTCTGTACAGCAAAGGAAGCCATCACCAAAGACAGCGGACAGAATAAGAGAAAAGTTTTACCAGCTATATACAAGACAGAGCATTAATAATCTGGAATACAAGAAGAGATAAGAATTAAATATAAAAACCCCAAACATTTCATTAATCAATGGGGACATAAGTTGACTAGGCAGTTCTCAAGAGAACACAAATGACCAGTAAATGTATGAAGAAATGTTCAACACCCTTAGCCAGCAGGGAAATGCAAATAAACACTACACTGAGATCCACATCAGTCCAGTCACCATGGCTACCATCAAGAAAAAAATGATTCAGGCTGGAGAGCTGGTTCGGCAGTTAGCAGTGTTTGCTTGCTCCTGCAGAGGACCCAAGTCTGGCTATCAGCATCTATGTGATACCACTCACAACTGTCTTTAGTTCCAGCTCCAGAGGGTCCACGGCTCTCCTGTCCTCTTCAGGACCTTTGCACACATACACGTACGTGCATACACGCGCCTGTGCACACGCACACCACACACAAATAAAAGGAGAACAAATGCCGGCAAGCGCTGATGAGGATGTGGGGAGAGAGAAACTCACACACACCAGGAATAGTAATGTAAACCAGAGCAGCCACTATGGAAATCGGAGTGGAGGTGTCTCACAAACCTAAAAATAAAACTAATGTGTATACCACTCCTGGAACTATACCCAAAAGACTTAAAAAACAAACAAACAAAAAGTCAGCACGCCACAAAGATGCTTGCATATCCATGATTATAGCTACACTGTTTTCAATAGCTTAGAAAGAGAATTGGCCCAGATGCCTATCAGCAGATGAATGACAGAGAAAATGCAGTACATATTCAATTTTATCCAGCCATAAAGAAAAGGAAATGATGTCACCTTTGGGAAAACAAAAGAAATTGGAGATCACGTCAAGTGAAATAAGCCAGACTCAGACAACACGATGTTTTCTCTCATAGAGTCTACATTCAAATATATATATTTCAAATATATATAGTATATATAACATATATATATATATATATATATATATATATATATATATATACTCACAGCATCTATATACACACATATACATATGGTGTTAAAGTAGAGGGAACTATTGGGGGAAAGAAGGGATTTAAAGGGAGAACAAGAGGGGATATTGGATGCCCTATTGGTTTTTGTTACTATGTTAAACACCACGACCTAAAGCAACATGGGAGGAAAGGGTTTATTGGGCTTACACATTCCTGTCATAGTGCATCATCAAGAGAAGCCAAGGCAGGTACTTAAAGCAGGAACCTGGAGGCAGGAACTCAAGCAGAGACCTTGGTGAAACACTGCTTGCTGGCTTGCTTGGTTACCTTTCTTAAACAGCTCAAGTCCACCTGCCTAAGGATGCTACAACCCACAGTGGTGATTGACGTGGGAGGGCCCAGGCCAATTGAGAAAATGCCCCACAGCCACGCTCATAGACAATTCCAATGGAATTGGACAATGGACAATTGGACAATTCCAATGGCATTCCATGTCCCAGGTGAGGTTCCCTTTGCCCAAGTGCTAACGATGACATGGAAGGAAGAAAGACAAGCTATCACATTTTCTTACCATGTGGAAATCAAGATTTAAATACACACATACACACTAAACCAGAGGGGGCTGTTACATACAATAAGGAAGGCACAATGGGGGTTGGCAGGATGTAATGTAGAGGAGAAAATATGAACAAATTATTAGAATGATACACAGAAATAATAATGTCATAATGAATCCCACTTCATTATTTTTGTATACTAACTAAAAAAAATAGTAATCTTTTAAAAAGAAAAAAATCATCTTTTAAGTGTGAACAAGAAGATAATGATCACAATAATACCTCTACTCACATATCCCTGAGCCCAGCCATGTGCTGGGATTAACACAGACAAGGACTGTTATGAGGAATACAGGCTACCTGCCTCAAAGATATGTTTAGCCACAGATCTCATTTCACCCATCCATCACATTCATGATCCCTGTAATATTTTGAGGTTTTTAAAAGTTCCACCAGAATGTCCCTGGGTGACACTACCACGGTTGTGACAGACGACTCCAGAGTTGAAGGTTAGCAGCCTCATCTAGCAAAGAAACCCAACAGGACTGGTCTTAACTGGCCTCGAATTGCTCCTGACTCCTGACTTAGCACATGACCCTGTGATTGCTCACAGCAGTGCAGTGCACAGAACATTCTGGAATGCCACCAGCCCAGAAAGCTCGACCCTGTAGAAAGGTGAAAGCGGGCCATGGAGGCCCACAGGCAGAATGCATGACAGGGTGTTTGGAATCTACGGAGGGCGGCTGCATGGAGAGGAGAGCCCGCTGAGGACTGCATCACAGTCCTGAGAGAGGCCGACTGGTGACTCCGCACCTGTTTCCTCAGAATCAAGAAATAGCCTCGGAACTTTCCAGAATCTTACACACATGTCCATAGGTGTGCATCATTCTTTTCAACCATTAAAGCGTAACTTGCCACTCCCAAATCATTTAAGAACGACTGCTCTACGTGGTCCCTTGTGGAACCATCTAGGTCTCTACTTTCACTTCTTAGCTAGTCATGTGCAAAAACAATCGCCACAGGACCTCAGTCATTTTCTGACCACAGTAAAAAATATCCCATTTAGTATCTCAACCACACACAGAACATAAAACTGTTTGAAGTTTATTGAATGGGAGAAGCTTAGCTGCTAATACCCTTTCCCCGTCAGCCTCTGCTAAATGTCCACACCCAAAGGACCACACATGTTCCACACGCAAGCATGCATGATTTAGCTTTGGGATTGGTTGGTTTTTGTTTGCTTCGTTCTATTCTGAAATATGCATGGGAACGGGTTGACCTCATTCTGGCTGAGAACAGCCTTCGTTGGGCGGCTGGGGTGGGAGGATGGGGGAGCTGGTCACTGCACAGCAGAGTCAAGCCGAATGAAAAGAGGTCTGCTACAATAACACCTCCAACAGGAGGGACGGAGGCCTCGTCAGTGAGAGTCCAGCTGTGATTTCCTGAGGTCAAGCAACAGTAAGGTCAGCAAGGACTGGAAGAAGAGTGCATTCCTACAGGGAGCAACATGGAGCAGGAAGACCCACTTTGGGTCACTGCTTAAGGGGTAAAGGTCATCACAGTGGGCAAGACACGGTGACGGGAACTTAACGGTCGTCACGTTGCATCCACAGTCAGAAGTCACACAGAAGACAGAAGTGCGGTACAGGCCCTAAGACCTGCCCTTGGTGTAAGAAGTCACTTTCTTCAACAAGGTCCCACCTTCTAAGGGTACCAAGTGTGCAAACGTATGAACCTATGGGGGACATTCCACATTCCAACCACAACAGAGTAGAACGGTTGCCCAAACCACTTGGAGAGGGGACTGCCGCCTTTGGAGCTCTCTCCCACCCTTTGGGGATCTATGCTCCTAAATTTAGGATGTTGCAACATTCTAGAGCGCTGTCACGTGGTACAGGCCGTGTTTGCTCAACTTGTTCACTTAGACTGCACTGCCTTCAAAAACAAAATTCTAAAGGTCACGCGCAGGAGCACAGCCGTCCCTGTTCCCTGAGTGAGGGCAACAACAGCCGTCCTACCACAGGCTCCTACAAGACAGCTGATACAACAAGCTGCGGGATTCTTTCTTCTGTTTATTTCTAGAAGAGACTTTCCGTAGACAGCTGCCCTGCCAAGCTCCTGTCAGAGCGCCATGCCAACCTTCTGCAGGCATTTTTCCACCCACATCCTGGCTCTGGATTCAGGGCTGTCTCCAGGAGGTCTAGCGGGTCGGAAGCCAGCCCTGGGCTGCTTCGGGACCGAGGTCACTCCGTAACACTCAGCTCAGCACGGAGACTGCGCTTGCCCTGCCATAATCACGCCGCAGGTTCACATTGCAGCTTAGCTCTCTTGATTTGGGCAGGATCAGGGGAGTGTCTTACTATCTCTCAGCCTTGGGGCCTCCATGCGATGGATTTTCTGAGCGCCAGCTTTCTGAGCTCATAGAGACCAAATGAAATCTCAGGTGAAAGCAGCTATCTCGAGAATTCGAACACAACCATCACACACTGGCATCATCAGAGACCACAAATGAGCTCTAAATGTTCTTGCCATAAACCAAAAGGATGATCGAATTCCTCTCCACACGCAGACCTGCCCTCCCTGAGTCTTAGGACTTACGAGCTTCAAAGCAGAAGATGAGGAAGGCCCTGTGCATTTCTCTTTAACGCAACGGTTCTCCTTCAAGGCCCCTTTAAGGAGCTTCTCTGACTTGAGGAATGCCAACAAAGTCAGGAATCCTTGACTAGCAAGCAGGCGGCAAGCGTACAGGTTAGCACATCTAGGAAGCAACCCGGACGTGCGGGGGTAACTTCTGAACAAAGGCTTACCTTGGCTGAAGTCGCACCGTCTCCTGGCACCTGAAGATGCTATTTTGTGGACTCTCATGAGCCGGTGACCCCGCTCCACCCTGGCACTCTGACTGGCTGGGCACCACATGCTCTGTCTCCTACAAGACAAAAAGGCAGAGGAGCTTTCTGCACTAGTCATTTCCACAGCACTCCTTCTTGACTGAGCTCAGCTCAGGGCAAGAGGCAGCTACGGGCACCACACTCTCCTGACTTCCACGCAGGAAGGGAGACAACTCAAGGGACAAACTTAATAGGGGTCTTTCTCCCAGCCAGTTGGTTGTCTAAGATTATAGGAGAAAGGGAGTAGGGAATATCATCACTTCTGAAAGTATAAGTTAGCCCCCCAAAAAAACTTTTTTTTTAGGCATTAAATATGGCATTGTAGGGGCTACAGAGACGGCTCAACAGTTAAGAGCATATACTATTCTTGCAGAGGACTTGAGCTTGGTTCCCAGCACCCACACCAGCAGCTCACGACTATCTGTAACTCCAGGCCCAGAGGGATTCAGTCCTTCTAGGTTCCATAGGCACCTGTACGCACGTGCTTACATTTAAACAGAGGCACAGCCTATTAAAAAGTTAATAAGATGTGCTTTTTAAAGATTCCTGTATTTTATGTGTACGAGTGTTTTGCCTACATGTGTGTACGTATGGCACCATGGGCATGCTGGGGTCCCATAGAGAGGCCAAAAGAGGGGTTGGATGCCCCAGTACTGGAGTTATAAATGGTTGTGAGCCACCATGTGAGTGCACGGAGCCAAGCCCAGGTCCTCTAAAAAAACAACAAGTGCCCTTAACTACTGAGCCATCTCTCTAACTCAATAAAATATTTTTAGTGACATTATAGAACACATCATAAAGATAGCTATAACTTTAATATTACAATGCTTACAATATACTCATTTTTATGAAGAAAACACATGAATGCTCACAGACAAACAGATTAGGGTGAATTGAACTGAAATCTTAACAGTAATTATCTGTGAGATGTCATTTTTGCTACACTTGGGATCCATATGGATATCCCAAATTTTCTATAACAGAAAGATGTTCTTTCTGTATGAAGAAATAACTTGAAGCGAGTTTGAACACTAAGGCACAGTCATTTTATAAACTCTAGTCCCAGGTGTGCCTGATCTCTCCCCACTGGCCTATGTAACCATCACCGTCACTTCACTCAGCATTGGAACAGACCCAGCTCCGAGTGTCCGTGATGCCATCATCCATTGACATAAAAACCCTTCTGAGTGCTGAGCTGCAGCGGGTAACACAAATGCACCCAGACGACAACACAGACATGCACAGAAATGGGAGATCTAAGACCCACAACTGAATCCTGTTATCTTTAAGCTATAACAAGCCTATGACAAACTCCTCTCAGAAGGAAATAGTCCCTCTGCACCCAATGAATAAGACACTAAGATGAGAATCCATAAGCTATTTGGTGAATTCCAGATGACCAAAATGCAGTCAACTTATTTGGGATGGGGGTGATGCTGCACTTGTCTCTGCAATATATTTCAATGGCAAGAGAAATCCAGCCTCTTCAAGGGTGATGGGTTTAGAGCCATCTAGGTAGAGTATCTTATAAGTTATTTTTCCAAAATATTAGAGGGCCACACAGCCACCTGAAGCTTCTAACAGGAAAACCTGTATGATGTCATCCTATAAGAGGTAGGACAGGGAGAGGGATAGCTAATCGAGAGCAATGAATGAGGAGAATCAAGACTTTCTTTACTCTTCCAAGCCTCCGGAGGCAGGATGCCCCTATCAGGGAAAAAAGTTCCATTCGTTTTCACTGACTCTCCAGTCTCAGGAGCTGTTCACCAAAAGGTCTATGGCTACTCAAATATTGGCAAAACAAATCCCAAACACAAAGGTTTTCAAGAAAGATCACTGCTTGCTACTAGCTTAGCATGTGACCTTTGGCCACGTTACATAACTATCTAGGTTTCCATTCCCTTGTCTGTAAAAGGGGATCACCTCTGCACCTCACAAGGGCGTCAAGATGTGACTAGAATCTTTCCATGCCTTTCAAACAACTAGAGGCAATAGCAGGAGATGACTCTCAGTAGAGATACAATTCGTCTGACCAAAAGGCCCTCTGTGACCTAGAAGTGGTACTGAGACTCCAACCAAAGCAAAAGTATTTTGTGCAACACTTGTTTCATATTTCCATTCAAGTATCGGAATATCAAAGATATTTTAAAGGTCTTTTTGCTTTGTTGTTGCTGTTTTGAGACAGAATTGCTGTGCAGAACCTGCTGGGCTCACACAAAACTCCTGTGTCAGCATTCCAAGAGCTACGATGACATGCCTGAACCATGACGATGGCCCTAAATGGTGTATTTTGAAGTGCCGATGCCTTGTAGGCCTGAAACATGGTCCCTCTAATCTCTACCAAAGGTCATCATTTTATTAAAAGTTCACCCTTTAGAGAAAGAACAGTTTGCCTTTTTTCTTCACAAGCAGAATTTCACCTACTTCCTTTAGCCTCCAAGTGGTTGGGAAGGATTCCCTTGGCTAGTGATGATTTATCACGAAGGTGATAAGGGGGGATTCTGAAGAAAATGCTCCCTTCATCTCCCCAGATCAAAGACAAAAGAGCTATCCTCTCTGGAAGGGGTAAATGAAGAGTATTTGGAGGCAGCTACAGACAGATAAAGCCCTGACTAAAATGGAGAAGAAGGCGACACCACTGTGCTAGGTCCGGCTGCTGAGAGTTCAAACCTCCAGCTGTTATGGAATGGGGGGATGAAAATATGCTAGTATGAGGTATCTTGAGTACTGACTAGCACAGCAGCCTCTGATGTCATAGCAACACATCTGGCAGAAACAACAGGCAGCTCTTTCCCAGGCCCAAGAGTTAAATGATGCCCATAAACCTTGATATCCAAAACATCCCTAATATCAGAAACCCAAATGTAGCCTGCCCTAGAAAAGATTACATATGCTGCCTTCTCTAAAGCCTATGACAAGCCTCGAACATCTCCTGCTCATTAAAAAAAAATTATAATTGAGTCCCTCTTCCCCTTCATCATCTTTGCAAAGAATGACCTGCCATGGGCCAACAGCCCAGCAGAGCTGACGTGGCAGTCCATTGTGGAGCAGAAAAAGAGACCCAGCTGTGTTCTAGGTGCATTCTGGACCCATGGAAATCATGAGAGCTAACACTTGGTTGATGTTCTTTTAACCCTAGGACTTGTTACACTGTAACAGAAAAGTATGACACCCCAACTTTCCTGTACCATATGGTACAATCAGTAATAAAAAGCTACCTCTTTTTTATTAAATAAAAAGCTGTCTGTTAAAACAGCAGCTATTCAGGGGAAAAAATAATGTGGCATAAAATGTGCCCATAGATTTTTAGGTCCATTCAAATGAGAAAGGGGTGTAAATCCATAAGAGCTGTATGAACATTGGCAGTGAAAACTACAGAGAGTGCCCTTTCATCTGAAAGAATCAAGAATAGGAGATGAACCTCAAACCTCGTGAGTCTACTTTGTGTGTGCGGGTGTATGTGTGTATGTGTGTGTGTGTGTGTGTGTGTGTGTGTGTGTGTGTGTGTACACGTACGTACATGCGTGTACAGGTACACTCAGCTGTGCATGCATGTGTAGAGGTCAGGAAGGGACACTGGGAGTTTCCCTCTGATGTTCATTGTATTTTGGAGACAGACAGCTCACTGATTGCAGAGCCCATCATTTCAGCTAGGGCAGCTAGCCAGAGAGCCCTTGGGACCCACCTATGGGCTCCACCCCTCGGCACCTAGACTACAGACTCCCACTGTCCTGCCTGGCCTTTATATGGGTACTGGAGATATGAACTCAGGTCCTCCGGCTTGCACAGCAAGCCCTCTGACCGCTGAGCCATCTCCCCAGCCCTAGCTGCCCTACTTTTAAAAAGTAGTCCCAATGCTCCAATGTGAGTTAATGGATGTGATGGCATTTGTCATTTACTCATAAAGATATAAAGGAAAACTACTGAACAGGGACAAAAGAACTCAGGAAGATTCAGCTTCCTCCACAGCAGAGCATTAGCCAGATAGCCATATATATATATGAGAGACCAAGTTCATACCTTTGATGAGCTCACCACTAGACTGTACCACCTGACTGGGGTCCAGGTTAACCAGGGCCACAAAAGTCTTCAGAACCAGCAACGTCTACTTGTGGATGACTGAATGCTAGCATTGTCTCCCTTTCCCCAGCCCTAACATCCCTAAAGGACAGCATCCACCTAAGCACTGAGGATGGGCTCATCACCTTGTCCATTTTAGCTTCATCACATCTTTGCAGTTCTCTAGCACGTACCCCAGAAGTTCTAGAACACTAAAGAATAGCATTCATCCTAAAACAACTGAAATATATTTTTACTTTAAAAGCCCCGACATTTTGATAGAATGGGATGTCCCTGCCCCATGTCCACCCCTACCCCAAAATTAACATCTACTATTGACAAAAAGTTAAAGAAGGTGGAGTCTTATGGGTTTTTTTGTTTATGTGTTCGTTTGTTTTTCCTCTGTGTTAATGTGCTGGCCACACTGTCAGGTCCAAGCAGATGAGGAGGATGAGGTAAGAAGCCAGGATGATCTCTTCTATCTCTGTCTTCCTGCCATCTGGCCAGGGGGAGATCTTAGAGCCGATATCTTGTCCTGCGTCCAGTCATTTTCCTCAATCCCTACCTCACCCCTCAAGTGTCTCAAGTCTAGTCTCAGTGGTGTGATGGACCAAAGCATGAAAACCTGGCTTCGAAGCCCTAGAACCCACAGAAAGCCAGGCATGGTAGTAACATGTATCTATAATCCAGGGTACCTACGGCAGGACAGGAGGTAGAGACAGGAACATCCCAGGAAGCATGTGGGCTGCTAGCCTGGTGTACACCAAAGAGCAAGAGGCCCTGCCTCAAACAAGGTGGACAGCAAGGAATGACAGCTGAGGTCATCCTCTGACTGTTCACACTTGATGTCTCAAACACAGCACTTGTGAACACAAGAAAGTATGAATACACACACACACACATACATACATATACATACATACACACATACACACACACACACACACACACACACACACTATGAAAATGTGGCTTTATT